GTGAACGAGAAGGACGCGCTCATCGACCGGTCGTCCAACCTCATGAACGCGCGCGAGTCGTTCACGCAAATGCGCGCCTAAGCTAGTCTAGTTGAAGAGAAACAAATGTATTGTCGACGTGAATCTACATTTTTCGTGTTTGACTCGAGTGACGCGCTAACGATTGCATGGGAGTACAGTCCTCGTGCAGCGGCCAATAGAGCGGCTTGGCTCTGCAAGCAAGCTCTAAAGTACAGTTGCAGTTGGAGTCCTTGAATATTGGCGCGATGTCAAGTTGGCATGGCGTTGCGTTGACACCGCCACACATAGTGCAATCTCGACGGCAGTTTATTTTTTGTGATTGGCTCTTCGATTTTTATACACGTCGCTGATTGGCTTAAAAGTAGAGCCCGGACGTTTCGATGACGTGGCACTTGGAATGGCTGATTGGATCTTCGTCGACAACAGGAGCTGACCGACCGACCGCCAATTCCGGTTACGGCAGACCACAGACTTTTTTTTCCGAACAAAATATACTGAAAATGTCCATCGAGCACCCTGTGTGTGGTAAGGCAATATGTCCGAACGTATCACTTTGTGCGACCTGGAGCCATTATCGGGGCCATCCCGCTGAGTCCTTCGTCTTGTTGCGCATCTGCTAGATGTAAGCCGGGGCGGCCTACAACAGCACTCTTGAAGCCCTCCGGTCAATGCGAGGGCATCTTTGCACGAGTCGCTTGCGTTGACAATGTGAGTTGAAGAACGTTCGATCGAGATCGACACAGTACATTGTACGTGAGGCACCTGCTGTACACCTAGGTGATGTGCGGACTGAGAGGGATCTCGACCCCACACGGCCGACGGCAATGGACCGCACTCCATCCGAAACACTAAGTGCATTGGGTGCTATTGTCCTAATCGACGTCGAAACAACCTAATTTGAGCTGTCTTTGAGGCATTTTTGACCAATTGAATGCGACACGAGAACAAGATCCTGCGCTCGCGCCACTCATTTGCAGTTTGGCCGCATGGGATTCTGGTCGCTCTTTCTCTTTGGCTTCTTGGCCATCAGCGCCTTTGGCCAGACACCACAAGATACGTGCGGCATCTGCGCGACTACGGGGCAGTGCAGCCAAGCGTTCAAGGGCCTGCCAGGTCAGTACTGCGGCAACTGGCTAAGCAGCGGCGTCAAACAGTTTTGCTGCTGCCCCACCGGCGCCACGTGTGCGATTCCGCTCAAGCAAGATGCGTGTTTGTGCACGGGCGCAAAGCCGACACCGCCGCCAGCACCAACGCCCTCCCCGACACCTGCACCGACACCCGCCCCGACACCTGCACCGACACCCGCCCCGACACCCAAGCTCGCGCCGACACCACCGCCAGCTCCCCTTGTCTTTCCGCTGCCGACAAGCAGCACATGCCAAAAGTGCGCCAATACGGGACAATGCCAAGACGCGTACAAGGGTCTGCCGGGCAAGTACTGCGGTCCGTGGCTGAGCAGCGCCGTCAAGCAAGCGTGCTGCTGTCCGACCGCAGCGACGTGTGCGATTCCGATCAAGGGTGATGCGTGCGTGTGCTCGTCGGTACCGACGCCAGCACCGACATCCGCAAAGAAGAAGACGCCGGTCTGGGTCTTTGTTGTCGCCGGCCTCGCGGTTCTTCTCGTCGTCGCGGGGATTTGGTGGTGGTGTCGCAACAAGAACGCGTCAGACGAAGACGACGTCGTCGTTGTGGAGCAAGCCGCCCCGCCGCAGCCCGTCGTGGTCTCGGCACCGGCTCCCGTGTACGTGCAGCAGCCACCCGTTGTCGTGCAGCAACCAGTGTACGTACAGCAGCAGCCTGTCATTGTCGCCGACGATCGGCCCCACTATGGTGTCGGGACGGGGCTGGCGGTCGGTGCCGCTGCGGGTCTGATTGGCGGTGTCGCGATTGGCGCTGCGCTGAGCCACGACGATGGCGGCGACCACGACCAGACTGCGTTCAACGGGGACTACGGCCACGCGTACAATGGCGACACCGGCGGCCAAGTCTTCTCAGGCGATTTTTAACGCTCCCAGGACGGCTAAGCTATCGAGCATCGGAAAGTGATTTTGAAATGAATAATGCCGCTTTTGACCTCATGTGTACATAGTTATGTGATTTTTATTCTCTATTTGTCGTCGCTACGGCGCATTACAGCTGGTCTTTGAGCGCCACCAAGAAATCGTCGAGTTGACGGTGCTTGGCGCAGAGGTTCTCAACCTGCGCCGGTGAAATGTCGGTCGTCGCGTTGGTAAATACACGCTCAATCGTAGCCGTCTCGTCGGTCGTCAATGCCGTCGCAAAGTAGTGCTGCACCATGAGCGTGGCTTGCGTCGCGTTCATCGCACCCATGTACAGCTGCTCGTCGATGCGACCCGGGCGAATGAGCGCCGGGTCGAGCTTCTCGGGGTGGTTGGACGTCATGATGAGGATGCGACCCGGCGTGTCGACGACGCCATCGAGTACATTGAGGAGGCCGCTGAGGTTGAGCTTGTCGTGGGGCGTAAACTTGGTCATGGACTTGATACCACCCGCGCTCGCCAGACTGGCTGCGACCGCGGCTTCGAGCATCGCGCGGTCTTCGTCGTCGGACGGCACACCGGTCGCCGAGTCCTTGCGCGTGTGGACGACTTCGGATGCGCAGTCGATGTCTTCCATCACAAACACCACCTTGTCGTAGCTCAGCTTGATCGGCATGTCTTCGCCTGGTACGTTCATGCGCAGATCGAGCATGTAGTCCATGAGCTCTTGGTTCGTCTTGACATTCGCGAGCGAAATGTTGACGATGTGGCGCTTGGTGTGCTGTGCAATCGCCTTGATGAGACTCGTCTTGCCCGTGCCCGGTGGCCCGTGGAGCAGGAACCCGAGCTTGTAGGGAAACCCTTGGATCGCGTACTTGCCGCTCTTGGTCGTAAACGTGTCGAGGAGGTCGAGAAGCGCGGTCTTGGTCTCAAAGAAGAGATTGTCGAACGTCTTGTGGTCGCTCAATGCGTAGCGCTTGAAGAGCGGAGCCGACGGTGTGCTGGCGCCGCCATCATCCTCGGACGACGTTGCCACCGGCGGTGGGGCGCCAGCCGACGCCACATACATGTAGCGGGTCTTGTCACGGAGCTTCTTGGCGACGATTGCGTCTTGGTACGCCTGAAAGGCCGTGTTGACAAAGCTGTCGATGCGGCCACCGGCGTCGGCGCCCGATGCCCGAAGCTTGAACGTGATCGTCGACTCCTTCATGCTGCGTTGGCTGCCGTTGCCGCCGCCGCTCTCGCCGGCCTCGTACACGTCGTGGTAGAACCAGAGCCCGTCTTCGATCTCAATCCACTCGCCGATCGGCGGTAGCGCGTTCACGGTCAAGATCGTCACGTCGACATCGAGCTCCCGCGTGTCCCAGTAGTCGCGGTCGTTGGGGTTCGGCGCATCATCGCCGAGACGCGACACAACTTCCGTGTCGAGCGCCTCGACGAGCTGGTACCGACCCGACGGCTTGTGCGCCATGGGCATGTGCTTGGTCAAGTAGTTGGCGATCGCGCGCTGAAGGATGTAGTTCATGTCGCTCTCATCGTAAATGCGGCCGTGGGACGCCATGTAGTGCTTGGCGCTAATGACGCGCAGCGTCGACCGGCGACCAAACGGCAACGCTGAGAGCACGTTGTCGACAAGGTCGCTGAGCGAAATGGACCCGGCCGAGTCGTAGAGCTGCTTGAGCACGATCGGGAGGAGGATGCACATGAGTGTCTCCGTCTTGTTGGCGCGCATCGACGAGAACATGCCGAGCTGCATCATTTGCGACTCCATGATGCGAGGTGAAATGCAAACTGACAAGGTGCAAGACTGCCACTAGAGTTCTGCGACCATCACTGGCGTTTCGCGAATGGCTTCTTGTTGGTATTTTTGTAAATTGATAGCATTTTTGTATATGCTGTGGCAACGACCAGCACTCAACTCAGAATCTCAATCCATGGATTGCACTGTGTTGCGTTCCGTGCAACTGCAGAACCCACCCTTGGGAAGCGCTCGCGACAACTTCAACATATGCAGTACCGTGGACAAGGACTGTGTAATAACAACAACGAGCTTGGCCGAGACTCGGCGCAATATGCAGTGCCTTGGACAAGTCGATGCATCCGGCGTCGTCTCGCTGTCGTTCGAGGGCCTTGGGCAATTGGGCAAGCAACGTGACACCATTTTGTTATCGTGTGGCTGCTTGGGTGCTGGCAAGGTTGGCAACAGATGTCGTAGTGGTCGCTTTGATTGGCTGAAATGGTTCCAGAGCGTACGGATTGGCTGTTAATGAGCGAATCAAACGCCAGTATTCAGCTTGACAACCAACGGCAGCAACAAACAACAGCACTCCGCCGTATTCGATCGCATTGCAAGTCGGTCATCGAGGTCCTCTGGCTGATCTTGCGCACTTGCGTCTGGTACGCTATGGGCTCGAACGCCACGACAACTGAGCTTTCTGAACAGTACTCACACGTCGCTGCTTTGCTCGCAGGCGAGACCGCTGGTGACCTTGGACAGCTCGTTTTAGCGACCAATTCTAATCCCAACAGCAACGACAACAACAAACAACAACGCCAACAACTTGGAGGCAACAGTGCGCCATGCAGCTCTTCTCATTCAAAGCTAGCAAATAGTAAGTCCTTTGAAAGGATGTCGGAGCCCTGGAACCTCTTGACGCTACCGATGTGGCTGTTGGTATGTCCAGGCCCCGCCACTGATTAAACTCAAGCAGGGGCCCCGGGACACCTGCAAAAATTAGATGCTGCACACATTTCGCAAAAACACTGATTGTTGCATTGGCACATGCCTTTCAACGCTATACAATGACGTGCATATAGCCGCCACACACTACTCTACTGTACTACGCGCTTACTCGTCCGACTCTTCCCAGTTCAACGTGCGCTCGATCGCCTTCTTCCACTGCTTGACGACCTTGTCACGGGCCTCGGGCGCCATCGCCGGCTCCCACTGGCCTGCCACCTGCCAGTTGACGCGGAGCTCGTCGACCGTCTTCCAGTAGCCAACGGCAAGACCCGCGGCGTACGCGGCACCGAGCGCCGTCGTCTCGGCCACGCGCGGGCAAATGACCTTGGCGTCAAGGAGGTCGGACTGGATCTGCATGAGCGTCTTGTTGACCGTCATGCCGCCGTCGACACGGAGCGACGTGAGCTTCATGTTGGCTTCCTCCTGCATCGCGTGGACGACGTCCATGACCTGGAAGGCCACGGCTTCAAGCGCAGCCCGCGCGAGATGCTCGCGCGTCGCGTAGCCCGTGAGCCCGCAGATGACACCGCGCGCGTCATCGCGCCAGTAGGGCGCAAAGAGGCCCGAGAAGGCCGGCACAAAGTAGACGCCGCCGTTGTCCTCGACCGAGTTGGCAAGGTCCTCGATCTCCGAGGCCTTGGAAATGATCTTGAGGTTGTCACGGAGCCACTGGACGACTTGGCCGGCGACAGCGACCGAGCCCTCGAGAGCAAACACGGTCGGCTCGGACCCGAGCTTGTAGCCCACCGTCGTCAACAGGCCCTTGCTCGACGGAATGATCTTGGTGCCCGTGTTCATCATGAAGAAGCAGCCGGTGCCAAATGTGTTCTTGGCCTGGCCCGCCTCGAAGCACGTCTGGCCAAAGAGCGCAGCCTGTTGGTCGCCAAGCATACCAGCAATTGGGACGTTGGGGAGCGTGCCGTCTTCGGCGCCGAGGCCGTAGACCTCCGACGACGACCGAATTTCCGGCAGCATCCCGCGCGGGATGTTGAGGAGATCGAGGAGACCCTGGTCCCACTGCTGCGTCTCGAGCGACATCAAGTTGGTGCGCGACGCGTTCGAGACGTCGGTCGCGTGCACCTTGCCGTTCGTGAGCTTCCAGAGGAGGTACGTGTCGATCGTGCCAAAGATCGCATCGCCGGCTTCGGCGGCCGCGCGGAGGCCCTCGACGTTCTCGAGCAGCCACATGATCTTGACCGCCGAAAAGTACGTGGCGACCGGGAGGCCCGTGATGGCGCGGAACCGGTTGATCGTGTGGTCGTGCGTCAGATGGTGCACAATGTCGGCGGTACGCATGTCGTGCCAGACGAGCGCGTCGTGGTAGGCGGCGCCCGTGTGGCGGTTCCAGATGACCGAGGTCTCGCGCTGGTTGGTGATACCGACGGCCGCGACGCTCGGGTTGCCCGCCTTCATGAGCGTCTGCTTGATGCACGTGTTGACGTTGGTCCAAATCTCCTCGACGTCGTGCTGGCACCAGCCCGGGTGCGGGTAGATCTGGTTGTGCTCCATCTGGTGCGACGCAGCAATGTTGCCTTGGTGGTCAAAGAGGATGAAGCGCGAGCTCGTCGTGCCCTGGTCAATCGCGCCGACAAATGCCATCTTGATGCTACTCGTTCGAACCAAGCGACTTGGAAAATGAGCCATCGCCAGCCTGACGCTCGCGTATCCGGATTAGTATCCGGCACCTCGTGGCGACCAACTTCAACATGGGCGAAAGGCAACTTCAAGGTCGGTCGACGCCGCGAAGGCAGCGTTTCGACTAGATGGGACGACAGAGGAGGTGGTCCGAACACACCCTTTGCGCTCGATTCTTGGGTGCGTGATTCTTTCAGAGCAGCGGACCGATCGAACGTGGGTATCAAAGTATTTGAGGAGCGCTCAGTGAATGGGAAGACGCCTCGAGAAAAAGGGGCGGAAGCGCCATCAAATGGGTTGCTGCCGCGACGTCACAAAGACGAGCCGCGCGCTTGCACCAATGAAAGAAGAGACATGCTGTTGATTCAACGTGTGTAGAAGCCAACGCACATGGCTGCACGCGCCTTGATTGGAAAGGGGTGAGGTGGCGCGCGACGGCTGTCGAGTCGACGCAGGCCGAGCGTTGCATCAACACGGCAACGCATGGCTCGTCCGCTACAGCGTCCTACACTTGTATCGTTCCGTCGTAGTTTGTAGAGTAGTGATTGGGTTTGTCAAGGACGTCGCTCGCGAACGTGCAAGAAAAACGTTGGCGTCGAGTGGACCAAGCGCGTCGAAGCTGCACTTCAACATGGGCCTCAAACAGTGTGTCGTCCAGAGCATCTGGTCCCGATAGAAAGTCCGATTACGAAAGCGTGATTGGCCGAAAACCACAACCTGCACCCATCGGGCTTTGCCGCAAGCAGACAGACAGACGATGCGACAGACGCCACATGGGTACCAAGGATTATCCTTCGAGAGGATCACTTGCGGACGCGAACACCCCAGAATATGGCAAGCGATTTTTTAAAGTTGCACTTTCATTGGAATTTATATGTAATTTGTTGACGTGTCGACCGTGCGGGAACGTGGGCAGTCAGTGTGCTTTTAGCACGACGTGGGCGCGGCACCAGGATGCAACCAGCCGTGGCGCGCCATCTTCTTGTGCATCTTGCGGAACATCTTGTCGCCGTCGTCGTCGCTGCGTCGGCCGTGGCAGTGCCCATGACGACCGCCGTGGCGGTGGTGCTTCATCTTGCGCCACACGTCTTCGTGATCGCCGCGGCAGTCCTTCATCTTGTGCCACATGTCATCGCCGGGATGCCCTTCGCTCGGCGGCGCCATGGGACCGCCCTCGGCGCCATGCGGGTGAGGATGCCCGAACATGCCATGATGATGAGGCCCTGGCATGCCATGATGGTGAGGTCCTGGCATGCCATGATGATGAGGCCCAGGCATGCCATGATGATGAGGCCCAGGCATGCCATGGTGGTGACCAAACTTGCCGTGGTGATGGCCCCAACGCCCGAAGAAGCTGGCGGGACCGTCCGAGGGTCCGTCGCACTTGCTGCGCGCGAGCATTTTGGCCAGTTTCTTCTGGTACTTCATCTCAAAGTACGCCTGCATTGCCTCGGCCGCGTCTTCACTCGAGGCGCTGTTTGATGCCATCGACATTTCGCGCGACAGCTTGTGCAGCTCGTGCAGGTGGTAGTTGAATTGCTCCTTGAGCGATTGCCAGTTGGCTGTCGTGGGCTGCTCCGTCGTTGGTTCTTGTTCGGTCGTCGCGGGGGTAGCAGGAGCGGGGGCTTCCATTTTTCTTATTGCTGGTGCGGCGCAGTGAATTGGAGAATGAGCAGCATGACATTGACGATGGTGGCGAGGTGTTGGGTCAGTCCACCTTCTGTCGGTCAGCGACTGGACCGTTAGCACAGATCTTTGTGAGAATGTACGTCACCACAATCACTCGCCATAAATGCAGCCAATCAGCGCTTACTGCGGCAGAGGTAGGAGTGACCCTATCGTGGCCCGACCACGGAGAGAAAGGGCACGCGTGGTTCTTGAAGGAGATTCAATGGCGAGGCTCCCAGGACCTACGGTCTGCGCGAAGAATGCATATAGTACTAGTACGTTTGTTTGAGCGGACTCAACGACACGTTTCTTCGTCTTGGATACCTCAAAAGTACTAGGACGCACATTCAGCAGCCCTGTGCGTCGTGCTTTTAACGACTTTAACGATAGCGTTGATTCATGCAAATAAACGATTCATTATTAATATATCGTACAATCAGAACATATACTGAGTCGTGTCGCCATAAGCTCTTGGTCGTTTGTTTGCCGCTTGGTGTATTCGCACTTGTCGAAGCAGCGACCAAAGTGGGCCATGAAAGACCGCCAACGCCAGCTCGTTGTAGACACGGGTGGGCGTTTGCTGGATCTGGAG